TCATGAACATTGACGCAAAAATCCTCAACAAAATTCTAGCCAATAGTATTTAGCAACATATCAAGTTGGAGGTTTGAGTCTACCCAGTGGTTCCTTGGAAGAAAGGCCTGGTGATATACTTCTGAAAAATTAGTCATTGAAAACCTTATGGAGCACAGTTCCTCTGATACATGGAGTTGCCATGAGTTACAGTCAACTCAGTGGCAACTGGTTTGGCTGATGTTTTAGAAGCCATTTTCTTTCCCCTATTCTCTCACCCGTCTTACTTCTTTCCCAGCGAGCAGGGTGCCAGACATAAGTATAGTGCCTAGTCAACAAGCTCTCCACACGTAATAAGATACTGGAAGTCCAAAATAATCTATTTATTCAAAAGATATAGGCATCTGTAGAGAATTAAAATTCCCTAACAGCTAAGCTGCAACCAGAGGTCTGCTGTAGTCTCTAGGAGTGTAGATTCTTTGATCTTAAGAGACAGCCATGGGAAGTCAGTCTCTTTCTCTCACTGAACTTTACTATCAGCCTTAGGATAAACACAGAACTGTGGACAGCAGAATAGAGACAGAAGGAAACTGGATCCTTCATGTCACTGCTGAGCTGCTAGATCAAGCAACCATGATGTCTACCCAGCTGCTGAACTTCCAGTAATGTGAGCTGACATATATCCTTACTATTTAAGTCAAGTCTGAGTTGGGTTTTCTGTTACTGGTGAAATGATCCTAACTAATAAAACCCAACTGTCCCCTAGTCATACCCTATTGCTTCCCTAACAAACCACTTAACTCTAAGTATGGTCTGTGAGTTCTGTGTGGCCATTGTAATGGATTATTGAACCCAGAAGAGAAGTACAGAGTGCCGTGGGAGGGATAGCTGGCGTCAGAATTGGTAAAAAGGCTGGAAAGTAGAGGTATGTCTAACCTCCACCTCACAGGGATCAGCCTTGGGCTGATTTAGAGTCGCATCATCGTCCCTGAAGTTAGACAGGTTCTGATGACGCTACTACTACCACCCTTTTACAGTAGGTAACCTGGCTACTGGACTTTCTGTCCTCAAGAAGGGAGAGGTTGACTGTTCCATTTACAGACTTTCAACAAATCCATTTACTGCCCATATCTCACTCTACCCTCTACTATATATTGTTTCTGAGTCCAAAGCCTATCTGGTGTGTTCTAAAGGGCAGAGTTCCTCCCCTCTTGGCTGCAGGCCATTTTCCCTGTATTCTAGCCTGTGGTTTTCTCTGCCCAGCTTCATCAGTCACCACTCTTACCTTTATTTAGGCCTTCTAAATTTTTGTTCAAATCTATTGTCCTCCTCATTTTCATTGCTATGGATTTATAACATTCTCCCATTAAAAGGGAGAGGGGATAAGTGAATGTATTCGATCTTGAATTGGAATACAGCACATGGTACTTGAACAGGATTTTTTTTGTGGGAACAGGAATATAAGGAGGGAATAATGGTGAAGAATTTACTACCAGATTTGCTGTCACTTTTGTTTCTAGTTAAAATTCCTCTGTAAAAGAGACACCCTCATGGTTGTTATGTTACCTCTTCCTCCATGATATAGGTGAGAAGCTTCCAGTCCCACTCCACTGTCTTAGCATTGGCTGGATGCAGCCTGAAAGTCAAGTGACATCAATTAGAATTTGGGAGAGTTAGGCGGAAGAAGGGATGGAGTCCGGAAGATGATGAAAGGAAGAATCCATCTTCTATCCTCAGGGCTCTTGCCCACCACTCTCTTGTACCATACCACCTCAATCTGGGTATAGGGGGACTTCATTGCTTTTTGCTCCCCAATATACACTCCCATTTTTGGAGGCATTAATACCCCAATTTTCCTTCAAGAAACCAACTCTTTACCACTTTCAGCCCATATGCAGCTGGCTTTACCTACCAGGACCCTGGAATGAAGTATGTGACCTGTCAAGCCCATCATGCTATTCTACCCCTCAGTTTACAGAGACTGGCTGAAAGATGGATACATGTATCATGTTAGGCCAATCAATGCCTACAAGACTCAATTTCAGGACTCTTGTGTAACTATCAGGGAAGTGGACTCTCTCTTTCCCACTAGGAGGGTCATAAAAGCCTGAAGCTGGGGGGCTACAATTTGGAACCTCAAACTAGAGCCAAAGCAGAGCTGAAAAATGGGTCCTGGTGATCAGTCTTGAATACTGAGTCAAGTCATGTCATACCCCTAGGAGACATTTACTAGCCTGTTACTAGCCATTTCTAGTAACAGGAGCCATTAAATTCTTGTTTACCAGTGGTTAAAGCTAGTCTAGATTGAGTTTCCTGTCACTTGTGACCAAATTACACTAATATACTAAATCAGCCTCCCTAAGGGGTAGCTGAATAAAGCTTAGGCACATGAAAGCAGTGCCCAAGTCCAGGTTCCCTGGAAGATTTGCCAACAGCTGGCTGGGAAGGTTCATACTGTTGAATTTTCATAAGGAGCACGTAGGCCTCCTTTAGAACATCCACGGTCTCCGAGTCACTCAGCAGGATTTTCTGGATGATGTGAGCCACGATTTCTCTGGGTGGGTAATGCTGAGGTGACACAAAGTCCATCAAAAACTGCATAGTCCCCAGGGGAAAATTTTCTTCAATTGTATTTGTCACCATTCTTAGTCTTCGATGTGGGATGGGTTCTACTTTTCGACCCTTGTTCTGCAGAGATAAAAAGAAATGAATCAGGATGGGTTTCCACAGCACATCAAAATGAGGGGTTCTGAAACAGGTTGAAGACAGCAAAGTTCTTCATGTATTTGAAGTATTTTTTCATAATAATTAAAAAAAAAAAAAGCTACAGGAAAGCCTTATCTAAAAAACTTTTAATGATATGGGAAAATGCTTATATTAAGTTAAAAAAGTCATAATTCAAAATTCTATATACAACATGATTTCATCTGTGTGAAAGTACCGGATAGAAAGGAAAGTACAAAAGAGTCAACAGCTAGTGTAAGTTGATTTTGGGGTAAAGGTGACAAGAGATTCAGAGTAAGTTGTGACGTTATGTCAGACCTCAAAATAGACGAAGAGGGAAATTTTAAGTTTTGTTGTTAGAAGGAGAATACCATTTTGTTGTTTTTGAGACAAAAGGAAACATTAAATTGCTTTTCAAAAAACATATATAAAGACTGGGAGGGAATATGTAAAAAGTGGTTTTCCATTATCTGGTAGCATTATGAGTGATGGCTTCCTCTTTATGCTCTGTTGTGTTTTTCAACTTTTTTCACAACAGGCATTTACTACTTTTTAAAACACATTCAATTTTTAATGATATGGAAATACAATAATAATGATGATGATAGTTTTTTGAACACTTAACTTATCCTCATTTAATTCTTACAACAACCCTAAGAAATACATGCTATTATTATTCACATTTTATAGACAAGGAAACTGCGATTTAGAGAGATTAAGCGTTTGTCATGCAGCAAATGGCAGAGGCTGGTTCAACTATAGATGCTGTAACTCCAGAGTCCCCCTCTTAATCCTTACTCTTTACAAAGAAAAACAAAACACACACACACACACGCGTATATATGTGTATATATATAAAATCTCAATTATTACAAATTTAAAATGCATAGGTATAAAAATACAACTAAGAAGGAAATACACCAAATTAACAATAATAAATGCTGAGTGATAGCACTGTGGCTGAGATTTCTTATATTTTAAAAATGTTTTATAATAAGCAAGTATTATTTTTAAACTCGGAAAATAAACATTAAAATAGCCGACCAAAGATCAGACAGCTGATGTAGAACAGTGTAAAACAGTGATGTCTGGACTTGCCCTTACAGAAAATCTTCTGGAGGAGAGAAGACCAGTTAGCTCTCCTCATGTCTCAAATCACCCCAGGGTCCTTCTGAACTCTCATGAGAGGCCATGGCTGTATGTGGCATGTAATGAGAATTAAGAGCAAGAGAAGAACAAATACTTCGCTTTGGTAACAGGTTTTACATTTGATGCACTTTATAACCTTAAAAAAAAAAAAAAAAAAAAACCAAACCCGCTGTCGCTGAATCGATTCTGACTCATAGTGACCCTATAAGACAGAGTAGAACTGTCCCGTAAGGTTCCCAAGGAGCGCCTGGTGGATTTGAACCGCTGATCCTTTGGTTATCTTAATATTCATTTCTTGCCTACGAATGAGGACATCTAAAACAGATAAGTGTTTTAAAAATTGTTTTGACGGCCATATCCTTAAAGGGAATTAATACTTACAGAGTACTTCTATAAGCCCTGAAAGATGGCTATGTGCTTTGGGTATTCATCTTGAAGTCAAACAACTCTATGATATGGGCAGTATGGTCCTATTTTAGAGCTAAATAAAAAGAGACTCAGAGGAGTTAAGGTGAATGGCTGGTAAGTGGCAGTGTGGAGAATGGCTGAAGAAGCTCCAGGGGAAAATGGACCTAGTGAAGAAGTTATTCATTCAAGGCCCAAAATAAATCACAGGAGGGACAGAAAAGATTTATCGATGTATTCTAGGTGGCTGAGGTTCTTTAAGAAGGTAAGAAACAAAGATGAAGAAGAAAAATCCACTATGTCTAGCCTAATTGTCAACTAAAAATCTGAGCTATATGTATACAGAGAAGGGGGACGTGATCTCCCATATGCATCTACAGGTGGCTTTGCGTAGTCATACAGGCCTACAGAGACCTCCACGGTCTTGACTAGGGAAACTGATAAACTCTCTCTAGTCCCCCAAGTGCTCTTGATAATGGACAGATGTATCACCAACTTGAGGTGAACCCCCTGGGAAAAAAATAATGAGCTAATGGTTGAGTGGAGTTACTCAGAAGAAGACAAGAGAAAAATAAAAACAAAACAAGAGAAGAAAAATCACTCTCCAAAGCCAATTCAGTGTGAACACCTGACACCTGCTAAGCTGGATCACTGATTGCTTCAAAAAGAAGGAGAATGCACACTTTGACTTTTTGACCTACTTCAAGCCAGTCTTCTTAATGTTAGGGATAGGGTTGTGGATAATGAAAACATAGCTTCATATTGTGGGACTTAGCTACACATTTTTCCCTTACACATCTGGTTGAGTCCTCATAGATCGAGAACCAATGGGAAGCAGCATCCTCACTAAAATCTTAAAATTGAATTTCCTCCCTGAAGGGCAGGGAGTAATACTTTTGGAGGCACTGAAGTGTCAAGAGCATTATTATCTCTGTGATATGGAAGCTGTGATAAGGGCATCAGGAAGAGAAAGGCCTAGAGGTTGAAAACAAGCAACTGATGAAGTCCTATGATGAGCCAGACATTCTAACAGGCACTTTACATGTCATCTCATTTAATGGCCTTGTGAGGTATATTTTTATCTCCATTTTATAAATAGGAAAGCTGAGGCTTAGAAAGGTAAAGTGATTTGTACAATGCTAGTATTTAAGTGTGGGGCTGAAATTTGAACCCCAATCTGACTCTACACTGCATGGTCTCCATGGTGGGTGAAAGATAACAATGTCAAGTCTATACTGGGCCTGTCCTCTCATGCATGGACTCCAGTCACACTAGCTTTATCCTAGGCCTATATAAAAGACCCCCAATCCTTAGGAGAAGATATGTTGGCTCACCTCTCTTGTGTCTTTATCTGGTATTAGTGTCTGGAAGAAGAGGTGATGCACTGGAGGGCGTAAGAAGTACTTCAGTCTATGCAGGCATGGTCTGTTGTGCAGCGTGCCTTGTGGTGTTCGTGCTTGTACCTGGGCAGACCCAGGCTTGGCAGGCTCTGACACTGATATCTCTTTTCTGGATGGGGTTTCCAGGACAGAGAGCCAAGGAACTTGCTCTAAGGGAAACTCTGGAGAGCAGCTCCGAGAGGATGGAACTGAGATATCCATAGGAGTGTCATGGTTCTGTACATCATTCTGGGGTGAATCAGGCTTGTCTTGTGGTAAGTCAGGCGAGTCTCTAAGTGGGCGTAGCACACCTCCAGAGGTACGCAGCACATCTTCTGGTAAGTGTGGTACGCCTCTTGGTGAACATGGCATATTTCCTGCTGACAGTGGCACATCTTTAGGTGACAGCGGTACATCTCCAGGTGAATGTGGCATGTCTTCCGGTGACAGTGGTATGTCTCCAGGGGAATGTGGAATGTCTTCAGGTGACAGTGGCATATCTCCAGGTGAATGTGGCATGTCTGCTTGTGACCGTGGCACATCTCGCAGTGACTGTGGCATGTCTCGCAATTGTGCCACATTTTGTGAATATGATATGTTTTGAGGTGGGCCTGGTACATCTTGAGGTAGGCCCAGAGAGTCTTGAGGTGAGCAGAGTGAGTCTTGAGGTGGGTTTGGTGAGAGCTGAGGAGGCCACGATGAGTCTTGAGGTGGGCTTGGTGAGTGCTGAGGAGGCCAGAATGAGTCTTGAGGCGGGCTCGGTGAGAGCTGAGGAGGGCATGATGAGTCTTGAGGTGGGCTTGGCATATCCAGCTGAGGGCATGGCCCATTCTGAGGGCAGGGCACATCTTGAGGAGGGCATGGCACTTCTTGAGGTGGGTGAGGCAAGGCTTGTGGTTGGCTCTGCATGGTTTGTAGAGGGCACGACAAGGCTCGTGGTGGGCATGAGGAGGCTCGTGGAGGACATGGTGAGGCTCGTGGGCATGGCGAGGCTTGCAGTGGGCATGGCAAGGCTTGTGGTGGGCAAGGCACATCTTGCTGTGGGCACGGCAAGGGTGCCCTTTGATTGCGGCTGCTACCATTATTGCTTGTTGGGGAGAGGGAGTGAACATCTGAAGTTAGTTGTAGGCTTGCCAAGAAGCCAAGGTCACCTTTGAATGCTGTTGAGCTACAATTGGGCTCTGCTGGATAAACAGAGTCCTGACTGATGGATGTAGGGGGTTGGGGGTCTTCAAATGTGGTCTCTTCCAACAGGTCCAAATCCACAGGATCGTTGTTAACAATTCTCCGCATGACAGGCCGAGAGTTTTGGTCCACCTGCCCTTCGATCACCTCTTTGCTGGAGAGGTTGGCACATGTCTGAAGACTGGTTGGCTCCTTCTGGGAAGGAGCAACAGGTTCTAGAGTCAAGTCAAGAGTGGCAATTGGCCTATTTTCTTCCTCACTTCTTGTCAGGTCGATCACACAGAGTCCAATATGATCCTTTGCCCTTGGTCTGGTTTCTCTAGTTAAGTCGATAAAGTCCTGTTGAAAGATTGTGAGAAGATAAGAGGTCAAGAAGGGATTCTCAGTTTTATAAGAAGCCTTAAGTCTTGAGCATTAGTTTACTTTTTCACTCCACTGACAATTTACACATCTTGTATAACATAAACACTGCTTTTTTTGGTTAACATTTAGATACCGTCACAGCTATCAACCTCTATACCTTCTTAAATTATCCAAATGTCATACACACATAACTGGGGGCATAGTGGGAATTTTTTTCTGATCTAAGAGGGACAGGGGAGAAGTAGGGGAGATTTCAATCTTAAGTTACAAAGTAATAAGCGACCTTTGTTTGAAAAAGCAAATTTTTCACAAAGATCCTATAAGGTACGCATTATCATTTCCATTATACAGATGAGGAAACTGAAGCTCAGATCAACTGGACAGCAACTAACAACAACAAGGTTATCTACCTAAGGATTATACAGTAAAACTTGCAAAAGTTAGAACCTGTGTAAGGCAGAAACCTGTTAGAGAAGGAAAACTCAAATATTTTCCATTAAAAGGAGAGATAGAAAAGTGATAAGACTGCACCCTGTCAAAGGCAGAAAACCTGCGAGAACCAGAAAAACAAGGCAGTCCCATCGAGTTCTGACTCTCACAGGTTTCACCGTACAAGCATACATAGTATTCTATTGTATGGATGTACCACATTCACGCTGATAGGTGTTTGGGGTGTTTCCAGCTTGGGACTTTTAGGACTGAATCTGCTATAAGCATCACGTACAAGTCTTTGTGTAAACATATTTTCTTTTCTCTTGGGTAAGTATCTAGGAGTGAAAATGCTGTGTCACTGAGGAGGCATATATTTAATTTTGTAGAAAACTACCAAAAAGTTTCCAGAGTAGTTAAGTTATTTCAGATTCCTATCAGCATTATACAATAGTTTTAGTTGGCTCCTCATTCTCTCCAACGAATATTGTCAATCTTTTTTATTTTAACCATTTCAATGGGTAGGAAGTATCATTTCATTGTGGTTTTCATTTATATTTCCCTGATGACTAATAATTTTGAGCATTCTTTCTTGTGCTTATTGGCCATTCATTTATCTTCTTTTGTGAAGTACCTTTTCAAATTTTTGCACATTTTAAAATTGGGTTGTCTGTCTTCTTGCTATATGCTGAATAAAAGTTCTGCAGTTATACATATTGGTAATATTTTCTTGATTCTGTAGCTTGATTTTTTGTTTTCTTAATGGTGTCTTTTGAAAAGCAGGAGTGTTACATTTTAAGTCCAAATTATCAAAAAAATTTTTTTTATGGTTCATGCTTTTTATGTCCTAAGAAATCTTTGCCTTCTCCAAGGTTGCAAAGATTTTCTCCTATGTTTTCTTCTGTAACTTTTATAATTTTAACTTTTATACTCAAGTCTTTAATTTTTGTATATAATGTGAGGTAAAGGTCAATGTTCTTTTTTTTTCCCATACAGATATCCAGTTTTTACAGCACCATGTGTTGAAAATGAAATGAACTGCCTAGGAACCTTTGCTGAAAATTAACTGACCTTAACTGGTGGGTCCATTTCTGAACTCTCTATTCTGCTCTATTGACTGCTCGTTGGGGAGAGAGAGTGAACATCTAAAGTTAGCTGTAGGCTGTTTGATGATATTTCTATCATATCATTAACATCACATGGTCTTGATTACCATAGCTTGAACTAGTAAGCCCTCCAACTTTGTTTTTCTTTTCTAAAATTGTTTTGTCTATTCTAGACTGTTTGCTTTTTCATAACATTTAGAATTGGCTTGTCAATTTCTATCAAAAATCCTGCTGAAATTTTGATTGAGATTGTATTAAATATATATATGTATATAAATTTAGAAAGAAGGGACATCTCAAAAATAATATTCAGCCTTCCAATTTATGAACAGAATTTATCTACCGATTTATTTAGATCTCTTTCAACTATGTTTCGTAAGTTTTAGAGTATCAACAACATTGAAAATAGAAATGCATTTTTAATTTCATTTTCTAATTCTTCATTGCTAGTATAGAGAAATACTATTGATCTAATATATACTAATCCTGTATCCTGAGACCATGAAGAAAGGCTTGGCAATTTACCTCCAAAAAAAAAAAAAAAAAATCAGGCAGTGAAAACCCTAGGGATCATAACAGTCCAGTCCCATTGTGCGTGGGGTTGCCATGAGTCAGTGGCCGACTCCGTGGCAGCCAACAACAAAATCCTGAGACCTAACTTCACTTACTAGTTTGAGTAACTTTTTTGTAGATTTTTTTAGAGAGTTCTATACAAACAATCACATTACAAATAAAGTTTTACTTCTTCCTTTCCAATCTGTATGCTTTTTATTTCTTTTTCTTGTCTTCCTGCCATATCGAAGACATCCAGTATAATTATGAATAGAAGTGGTGAGAGCAGACATTCTTGCCTTGTTTCTAAACTTAGAGGAAAGAATTTCAGTCTTTCATCATTAAGTATAATGTTAGCTGTGGGTTTTTCATAGATTACCTTTATTGAGTTAAGGAAGTTCCTTTATTTTCCTACTTTGCTAAGAGTTTTAATTGGGAATAGGTGTTACATTTTGTTGAATGCTTTCCCTACACCTATTGTGATGATCCTATGATTTCTTCTTCACTCTATTAATATCAGAGATGAGAAGTTAAATGTTAAACTAATCTTGCAATCCTGTGAAAAACTCCACTTGGTTATGATGTATTATCCATTTTATATATTGTTGGGTTTAATTTATCAATATTTTGCTAAAAATTTTTACAGGCTTATGAGGGAATATTAGTTTATGCTTTTCTACTCTTATAATATTTCTTTTTCTGGTTTTGCTATCAGAATAAAACTAGCTTCATAAAGTGATTTGGGAACTATTCTCTCTCCCTCTATTTAGCTTGTATAGTACTGGTAAATTATCTTCCTTGTATGTTTTATAGAATTCATCAGTTAAGCTATTTGAGCCTGAAATTTGTTTTGTAGGAAAGTTGTAAATTTTCAGTTCAATTTCTTTAGTAGCTATAAGGCTATTAAAATTTTCTATTTCTTGTGTCAGCTCTGTAACTTAAGTTTTTCAAGAAATTTGTCCATTTCATCTAAGTTGTTAAATTGGCATAAAACTGTTCAAAATAGTCCCTTATTATTCTTTCAATTCTATACTTTACATAGGATTATTTGTTATCAATTCCTTTTTTTATTCCAATATTCAAATTGTAACTTGTGTCCTCTGTATTTTTTATCCTTGATCAGTCTAGCTAGAACTTCATAAATTTTGTTAGTATTTCCAAACCAGTTTTTCATCTGTTTTCTATTTCATTTATTTCTATTGTTATTTTTATGATTTCCTTTGGATTTAATTTGTGCTTCTTTTTCTTGCTTCTGAGCGTAGAAGCTGAGATAATTGATTTTAGACATTTTTCTTTTCTTTTTTTTAATTGAACTTTAGATGAAGGTTTACAGACAAACTAGCTTCTCATTAAAGTTAGTACACATACCGTTTTATGACATTGGTTAACAACCCCACAACATGTCCACACTCTCCCTTCTTGACCTTGGGTTCCCTATTACCAGCTTTCCTGTCCCGTCCTGCCTTCTAGTCTTTGCCCCTGGGCTGGTGTGCTCCTTTAGTCTCATTTTGTTTTATAGGCCTGTCTAATCTTTGGATGAAGGGTGAATCTCAGGAGTGACTTCATTACTGAGCTAAAAGGGTGTCGAGGGGCCATACTCTCAGGGTTTCTCCAGTCTCTGTCAGGCCAGTAAGTCTGGTCTCTTTTTGGGAGTTAGAATTTTGTTCTGTGTTTTTCTCCAGCTCTGTCCAGGACTCTCTATTGTGATCCCTGTCAGAGCTAGACTTTTTTCTTTTCTAATATAAGCATTTAAAACTATAAATTTCCCTGTAAGTACTGCTTTGGTTTCATCTCACAAAATTTAACATGTAGTGATTTTATTACTATGTAGTTTAAAATATTTTCTAATTTCCTGTGTGATTTCTTCTTTGATCCACGGTTTGTGAGTTTTGTGTTGCTGAAACTTGGAGCTTTTATACTTATTCTATTGTTGATGTCTGATTTCTTTTCATTATGGTCAAAAAACATACTCTGAAAGATTTCAGTCTTATAAAATATTTTGAAACTTGTTTTTATGGCCTAACATATGGCACAGCTTGGTGAATATTTACTATGCACTTGAAAAAAAAAGTGTATTCTGTGGTTGTTGGACATAGTTCTATAAATGTCAATTTAAAAAAAAAAAACCCATTGCTGTCGAGTTGATTCTGACTCATAGTGACCCTACAGGACAGAGCAGAACTGCCCTATAGGGTTTCCAAGGAGCAACTGCTGGATTCAAACTGCTGACCCTCTGGTTAGCAGTCAAGCTCTTAACCACTGAACCACCAGGGCTCCTAAATGTCAATTAGGTCAGGGTAATTGTTAGTGTCTTTCAGATCTTTGATGTTCTTACTTTTGGGAGGAATTTATTTGTGCTATCAATGACTGCCCCCACGTGTGTGTCAGTTTGTCGTACTGCAGGGGCTTGCGTGTTGCTGTGATGGTGGAAGCTATGCCACCAGTATTCAAATACCAGCAGGGTCACCTACAGTAGACATGTTTCAGCTGAACTTTCAGACTAAGACAGACTAGGAAGAAGGACCCGGCGGTCTACCTCTGAAAAGAATTAGCCAGTGAAAACCTTATGAATAGCAGCAAAACATCGTCTGATATAGTGCCGAAAGATGAGCCCCTCAGGTTGGAAGGCACTCAAAAGACGACTGGAGAAGAGTTGCCTCCTCAGAGTACAGTCGACTTTAATGACGTGGATGGAGTCAAGGACTGGGCAGTGTTTCGTTCTGTTGTACATATGGTGGCTATGAGTCGGAATTGACTTGACGGCACCTAACAACATTAATGACTGAGAGGTATATTAAAGTCTCTAACGATGACTGTGACTGTGACGATTTCTATCAGTTTTTGCTTCATGTATTTGGAAACCCTGTTTAATTACATTATTAATTGTTA